TCATCCCCTGTGGGCTCATCTCTTTATTACAGTGGTTCCAAAAGCTGGTCCTCAAGTACACCTGCCCTGCATATTTTAGGTTTCTCCATGCTTCCAAAGACCCGACTTAAATGAATGGGTGATTAACAGACTTTTGCAGCTTTTGCTGGCTGCAGAGGAGGTCATGCAGTCATTTTAACCAGGTGTTTTGGATACAGAGATACATCTTAAAGATGCAGGGCAGGGCTAGTTGAGGATCGACTGCTTCGTTTCATTTAAGGTTGAAAAATATTTATGTTTTTACCTGAATTTCTTGTTTTGCATATTAAAGCCATATTTTACAAAAGTTGTGCATAGCTCTTGAAAAGAAATTGCATTGTGGGAACCAGCAAACCTTACAGTGCTGCCATGCAATTGGAAGACAACACTTAGGAGATACCAAAGTAAGCTTTGTTATAAACTGTTCACACTCTCGCAGAGAATTGAGCTTCTATGCAAGTCCCATCGGCTTAAAGGCAAATCCCAAATCAAAAACCGGGTTCTGGGAAACAACAAAAAAGAAGAAACACGTTCTACAAAATAAAAGCTCTAAGCAGGTTAGTACAGTTCAGCGAGTTCAGAAAATCCAAAGCAGTCCAGCAGCAAATCAGCTCAGGTCAAAAGCAAATATAATGCACTTGTAAACGACAGAGGAAGAAAGCAATCCCAAACCGAAGACACCCTTTGTTGAGAGCGTAGCCACAAACTTTTCCTCGCCCTCCAGGGCTTTTCACTTCTTTCTTTACCAATGAAAGAAATTTCACAGCCTCTTTTTTCTTTAGTTCCAACTTTTTATCTTTGTTGTAGACACGCTGGTTTCTCAGGAGAATCACTGTCCTGCAACAGGAAATTAGGTTTCCTACAGTTCTTATAAAAAGACTTATATAAATGATGGTAGGTTATTTTATCCGCAAATTCCACCATGTCTGCACTTTTCATGTTATTGTCTTAATTACAAACACTACAGCACAATTAGTATTTTTATATGAACAATGATGCATAAGAGTTCGTAACACATATCTGCATATTTCTTTAAGCTCTGAGTTTAGCATAACACAATATATTATAATGTAATGTGGAATGGCAATCTACAGTTTTCACTACTCAAGTTGTAGATCTTTGCAGCTCCTCCAGAGTTACCAGCTAGTTGAAAAGGGGACTGAATTAGGGCTTTACCAATTTCTCAAGTACCTCTATTGTTAAGATCCCTTGAGGCAAATTATCCGTCTCGTTAAATTATGTTTCACTACTCAGTGAACCGTGTTCCAACCGGGTGATTATTTATGTTGCGCAAGGCTCCCACTTCCACCTACGAGTTATTGACAAATGCGAAGTGCTGGCATCATAATGTCCAATTTTGAAGTGTTATCCAGGGTGATTTCATTGCTTGGTCCAGATTTTTAATCATTTTTCAGGAGACCAATAGGCATGCATCCTTAAAATAGTGGCTGGGACGGAGCGAACAGTGGCAAAAGTGGCGGGTGTATTTATACAGGTGGAGTGGATAGACTGAACACAGCCGGCTGCTGACGCTCAGCGCAAGTGTATTGTTACAAACAAACTGGAAAATAAATTTCAAACCATCTCGGCAAAAGAAAATGGAAAGCGGAGCATACCGTGGCGGTAAGTAGGTGTCAGATGTGTTTGTGTGTGTGATGAAGGCATCAAATCCAGTTGCGCACATGGACACAAAAGATACAAATGGTTGAACAAAGTGAGAGTTTAGCTATTAAATTGACTGAATATGAATACATAAACAAAAATCTGGGGTATAGACATGTTTTAAATAAGTGTCTTTGTGAGTCTGCTGCTCTATTATTAAACTGAATGCAATTTCAGATTTTTGTATGATTTCTGTCCAGGTTAATTTAAAAGGTGAGCCGTTATTGTTACAGGTTAACCTTCTAAACTATAGAAAAGTAATTGTTTGGGATGCACAAATATAAAAATTTGTGATGTTGATATCCAATATCAATACTGTGATTACTTGAGTGTCAGAATAATTATTCAATTACTTAAGTTTACAACAGCTCTAAATTAAATACAGACACCCTAAACTATTAGATTTTTGTTTGTCCAAGACTTGTATTCTTAATTTTCTTCATAATTATGTGCATCACATAAACCTCCAGTTTTGTAGTTATTGTAAGACATATCTGTGACTGTAGAAATGTGAACTGCTCTAGCCAAGCACATTTTCACACTATATTAATTGCAAAAATCAGACCTCATCTCTTTTATGCGTTTTGATTCCCTTTGCAGAGTTTAAAGAAGTGTGCAACAACAGTCAAGGAAAGGCCATTGCTCATAAAAACTGGCTCAGCTGTATGATAAACAAGAGTCAGTAACCCACATTTCAAACACACACCTTCTGTCTCTCAGCATCCTATTTCAGCATTTTTGTAAAATGGTTCATTTTGCTGGATTTGAAGGATGGTGCGAGGTTCTGCCTTATTGCATTCCCCAAAGAAGCCCGGCCTCTGTGACTCTGAAGTCAAATTCCACAAAGCACGATTTAGTCACTTCTGCAAGGATGCTGGGGATTCGTGCATGTTCTCCGCGGTGCGTCTCTGTTCTCCCCCTGGGCAAGGAAGCCTTGCAGGGCACAGTGCCATAGGAAAAGAGGAAAAGAATTAATATTAATGCTTTTGAAATTACTCAAAGATTCAGTTATGCACGATAATGCAAATACCGAGTCTTTCCAGTCTGTTGTACATCCCACTCCCAAAAAAAAAACAAAATGGTCCGTCGGTTGGAGCAGAATTATTTGTAGATGATATTCTTGGTGATATTTCTACATAAAAATAGTCGCATTTGGTGAGAACTCTACCACCGTAGATGCACAATACTAAAATAAAGCTTGCAGTGAAGTGCAGTTTAAAAGAGGAAAGCCCTTTTGCCTAGTCATCTCTCAGCACTGCAATGAGAGTTTTGTCTCGCAAAACATCATTACCTCCAGGGAAGTATCACAGGGGCCATTAGAGTGGAAAAGGAGCAGGTCTTCAGACTCTGTTTAGAAGCTTGAGAGGCTGATGTTTTGATTTCTCTCTCTTTTTTGGGGGGGAAGCCATGGGGGACTCTGCTAGATGGGCTGGCATGCCCACACATGCTTCACACTGGCAGTTAATCACTCAGATCCCCAGCAACAAAACCAGCCAGGCAAAGTGAGAAAAAAAAGAGGAAACAATGTGATGGATATGGTGAAACAGACGGGCAGGGAGAGGGGGAAGGAAAGGAAAAAAATGAAGGATGGATGGAAAACCATCTTTATTAGAGATATAAGAGTGAGGATCTTTTTGTAATCTTCTGAAGACGTCTTTATTGTGTACAACACTGTGGACTGCTCAGCGTCTTTGACTGGATATACGATTTGGCCGAAGAAGTTTGCTTTAGGCACAACTCATAGAAAACCATAACTACTGGGGGAAACGGTCATTATCATAATAAAACGTCTCCTGCTTTTGAAATTGCCTTTTGTTTTAAACTAGCAGATTACTTTACAGAGTTCTATATACCACCATTATTACCCATTATTACTAATGGCTGAGACAACTTGCAGTCACATTTCAGCTGACTGAAGTTGCAGCAACACCTTTTTAATCTTTCCTGATTGCCGCTCTATTGCCACTCAGTTCGTTTCATGAGTGCAAAATGCAAACAAGCGGGAACAAATAGAAATAGTTGTGTGGCATTTGTGGACGTTTCAAGTCATTTCAATGCTATACTGGTTGTTGGCAGCAGAGAAAATAGAGAAAATTATGCTGGCTGTGAAGCTTTTCTTTTTGCTCAGGTGCGGAAATAAGAAGCTGCGAGATATAATCTCCAAGTCTCTCCAGCTTGTGGTTCTGATCGCGCTATATAAGATGTATCAGTTAATGTTTTTGGAGCTTGATGCATCGGGCCTGCTTTCCTTTATAATCATGGTAAAGAGAAATAGTCTTCCACATAGATCTGTTTTCTGTCTAGTATTTTCTTTGAGGATAAAGAACGGAGTGCACAGTTCACGATAAATTATAAACACAAGATGGCAGTTCAGAAGGCAATGAGGCATTTCTGAGAAAAGGAGACTGTGAAACTGATGGGTTCAAAGATCTTTGCTGGTTTTCATTCATTAATAAATTAGAGCTCAATAAAGAAATTATTTCAAAAATACATCGAGTAAATGTAATACTGGAGTGGACTCACGAATAGCTTTGAAGAAAAATTCTTGCAAGATATTCTCTCTGTACTTCCGATGACCTCTGTGACAGGAGATAAATACGGTTTCTCTTACTCGATGAATAAGAGAGTTCCAGTAAAGCACACTGGAGAAAAAAAAATGTTTTTGGGCGAGTGAGGAGTTTGTCAACAATTGCAGGACAGATTTTCTTTTCAGTATTTCCCACAGGTTTTAGGCAATTCAGGTGTGGGATTGATTGAAACTCTTGTTCATAGTCCACCAGATATCAACCTAAGGAACTTGCAGCAACTTCATCCTTCGACTCAGTCCTGGGACATTTGTGTGTACACACACACACACACACACTTTGTACCTCCACATGGCCTAAACACACCAACAAGAAATCTCGCCAAGCCAACGCAACACTTATCCGACTCCACCCAGCTGCCACAGACAGACATAAGGCCGTCTGAGCCTAGAGGTAAGGAATACCAAGAGTCTGTGCCAATGCAGGGTAGTAATACTAGCACTCCACTCTGCTCCTCATCTGGCTCGCCTGTGGACAAAAGCTCATCCGTTAGAGTGCAGGTCACGCACAGCCAGGAATACAGATGGGTTAGTGAGTCTTTCTGTTCTGCCACTTAACAGTTCAAGGACTGAGATCACATGAAAGCACCTATATGGACATACATGTGCAGAAAAAAAAAAGAAAAAAGAAAAAAAGTGTGCGTTTGTTCCTATTTAAATATATAAACATGGCCGAGTGTATTCGCGTTTGAAGCGCTACCCGTGCACCTTTGCACGGTTGTACCTTTTGTTTGCCACTTTCACGCCGTGATGTTTAACGAACGGTGTGTATCCTTTGTAGACCTGACCAGTCGCAAATGTGTATTTGGGGAGGCAAACAAGCGTCCTTTTAGGCTGCTGAACACACCAGGCTGTGGCAGCAGACCGGTGGACAAACTGAACAAATTCTTTGCAGTAAATACACCATTAGAGGTTTGTATCGCAGCAGCAGTGGTATGTACAGTTCCTTTGTAAAACACACAACCCTGGATCGACAAAGAACGACACCACGGTCCACTCAGCTCTGATTCAAACACTCAATGAGCCAATAGTGCAAAGCAGCTGCTCACTCTTTAAGGGTGCACCTCTCGGTGGACGATAAGCGAAATTTTAATTTTGGGTTCCCATTTTGTTCACCTTCTACAGGGACTTGCGCTTCAGCATCATAAGAAAAGCACTCAAAATAACTGGATGGCTTCACAAACACCACAAGATCCCATTTGGAGCATGTTTTGTGGCCCAATGTGGGGTTTTATTTGGGAACCAAGGTTATAAACAGGTAAGGGAGTAAAAGATAAAAGCCTGACAATTTGCACCCTATAAGCTGCCTTACGAAGACTCAGTCTGGAGAGGAATTTAAGAGGAGATGTCGCGTAAACATTCAGACACGTCTACCTACGTTTAGGTTGATGGGTTTATATGTAAAGGACGCCGCTCTCAAGATTTCTTTTATCCCTGATACCAAATCTAGTCATTTAACAGCTGAAAGCCTAGTCCAACAATGGAGTCTCTTCTATCTGCTTTTTGTGATAATAGATAATTTGTTTGAAATGGAGCTTCATCCTTTCATGTTTCCACGTAATTTCCTGACCCACATTTAGAAACATTTAATGGGACACAGAATTGAAAGGGAAAGGGGAGTTCATAATAGTAAAAGGAAACTCTGGAGGACAAATATGGAGATGACTCTTTAGATCTGAAGGATAAGAAAAGTTGGCTTACTGTTCTGAAGGATGGAGGACCCTGGTGGGTTGAGAAGATGAGCTCCAGACGGGAAGATTTCAAAAGCAGAGTCAACAAGGGAGTGGAAATCCAAGTTGAGAGCAGGAAGGCAAGAGAGAACCTGGGGAACTTCAGAGCTGCAGTGGACAAACGGGGGACAGGTGATTGTCCAGGAGAAATCTGACGTGTAAAGGTCCGAGGAAATGTTCAGGTGTTAGTGTGGAAACCAAACTAATATTGAAGCTGAGAGGCGCAGAGGACACAAAGAGCTTGAGTTCAAGGAAGGTAAATAAAACATACTTCTTGCTCCAAAGGCAAAACTAAACTCTGAAGGAACCCAGAAGGCTTGACGCCATCATGGCAAATCATCCTTAACTCGCTAAACTGATGAGGTGATTGCAGACAGGTGTGTGATCTGCGGCAAGCCATCCAAGTCCTCCAACAAAGATCCTCTCTTCAGGATGAGGACTCACACACACCAGGATCATGACAAGTCCATCATATTAAGCTCCATAAAAAGCTACAATGCCCCCCTGGAGGGCCGGCGTCCTGCATGTTTTAGTTCTCTCCCTGGTTTAGCGCACCTGGATCCAATGATGGTTCATTAGAAGGCCTAAGAAGAACAATGGCATGCTGGAAAGGTTACTACCACCAGGGTAGATGACACTTTAAATACTTTTTTTTTAACTTGCAAATAATATCATAGAATAATAAATGATACTACAATGATCTCCCTGGCTAAGTTACACATCTAAGACCATTGCTGACATCTTTCCATTTTGTCATCAGGTTAGCAGAGTTAGCAACCAACCGGCTTTAAACCACCAAGTTAGCAACCCCTTTAGTTTTAATAGATAGAATCACATTTCCAGATTATCTGTAAAGATCACAAGATTGACAATAACTAGAAGTTAGAGGTTTTCTTTTAAACAATCACTGCATTCTCATTGAATTACATGTCCCCATTTTTAATTTGAAACATTGAAGCAGGACCAGCATCACGTCTCTTTCTTTGTAAGGGCAGATCAAGAGAGGGTGAGCATTGTGTATTTGCAAATTTAGCACCTCTGCAGGAATCATATGCACATCTTCACTCTCATAAACTGCCATGAGAGGCAGGGAATTGCACAGATTGAAGTGGTGAACGATTCTGCATATCTGGCTGTGTGTGTGTGTGTTGCATATCCTGGTAAACAAATGGCAAAATGTTTCCCTCTCGCCGTGGCATGATTTAAGTAAACAGGGACACTTACAGCAAAGCAAAGCGGCTATTGAGCATCTTCATAAATGTTTCACCATTCTTCGGGGGCCATGTGTGAGGGTGCGCGCACGCCGCCGCCGCCGCCTCGGCGCGAGACTGGGCGCATTTATCTCCGCAGAGACATCAGAGTGCTTGCAGCTTGAGGGGAAATCAGCGGGCCCACACTGCCGATGAGGAGATACGTGTCTGTGTGCATGTAATGTTGCTTGTACACAGAAGAAAGAAAAAATATGCCGGCTCCGTGTGCACTTCATTTAACCAATCAGGCCCCGCTGTGGTCAGAGGCTGTGCACTCACACCACCTAGTGGCACTAGGGCGAGCAAAATGTGACAAAACAGCAGAACGCGTTCATTCCGTCTGTGCACAATGGGATTTGAAAGAACATGTCAAATATCACTGCCTAGAGTTGATAGATTGTTTTGTTTGTTTGTTTTTCCTGAGGCAGATCTTCCAACAAACACTAGAGAAATAATAAGACTGTATCAAAAATATATATATTTAAAAAAAAAAAAAAAGCATGCACAAGGGAGAGGAGAAACTCAAAGACAAGTGTTGAGCCATGAAAAAAAAAATTGTAGCTGCAGACAGAGAGGAGGATCAAAGGATGAGCACCGGGAAGCTGCAGGAATCGGTTGTAGTCCTCCGCCTCAGGAAGCACAGCTTCAATAAGATTGATTGTGATTGACAGGTGGGAACCGTTAATCCCCTGTGCTCTTCACTCCCCCTGCCCAACCACACCCCCCCCCCCCCCTCTCTCTCTCTCTCTCACACACACACATTCTTGGACATCCCTACCAATCTACTGTACAAACGCCTGCGCCGTTCTCTTTGCATTTGCTCTTCCTCTCCCTCGCCATCATCCTAAGGCGCTCTGAGCCACCGCCGTCCTCCAAGTGGAGCCCTGCCGTGTACTATATATAGGTTTGGAGATGAAAGGCAATGAAAGGTGTATGGAGGTGCAGGTCATCAATATTCAATACCCTCTCCCTCTCTCTGTCTTTGAAATTTAAATTTCCTCCACCAATAAACTCCGATCGTGTATTTGCATGCTGGGCAATGAGACGTAAAGACATAATTACACGGTATTGATGCAATGTTTACAACACAAACTGCCTCTGCGAGTCCCGTCAGTTCCTGATGGCTCAGATTTAAAAAAAAACAAAAAAAAAGCCGCCCCGCTTGTTTCATCACCGTTAACACAGCTGTCTCCCGTCGCCTCTTTTGTTGCCACACGGCACATTTCCATAAATTCCCCTCACACCCCGAGCTATTTGTAGGGCGACTCTCGGCGAGCGACTGCAACAGGAATCCTTTGTTTCCAATATCCATCAGTCAGGTGAACTGAGAGGCCGCGTCCGCAGACTGTCACTGCTGAGTGCAGTTAAGAATGCCCACCACAATCTGGAGTCTCTGTGCCTGACAGGCGGTTTGTCTGGGATGAGAGGAGACATGGGAATGGAGATACACGCTCAGACATCTACAAGGCCTTCCACTGTTTATTGGCACCCTTTGGCAAATATGTGTAAAAAAAAAAAAAAAACCTGGATGGAAATTCATCTTTGGCTGGACAGCTTTTTGTTGTTGTTGCAATATCTAACCATTTTTGTGTAGATTTATTCAGCACAGGTGGAATATGTTATATATATATATATATATATATATATATATATATATATATATATATATATATATATAAATGTTTTTCCACAAAATCAATAACTCATGTTTTTGTTGGCTTACAATTTTTATCTAGTCTCCATAAACTCTATGGGGGGGAATAAAAAAACATTTTACTAATTAAATGGAACATTTTTAAAATAATATGGGCTTCTATACTCACTGCATTACATTCCAAGACTTCACGTCTGTTCATTTCGATGATTGTGGCTTACAGCTAATGAAAACCTCTCGGAAAATTTTAAGGTCCTTCAACACAATTCAAGAATGGTAGACTTTCAGACTGCCAGCACAGGTGGTTGAAGCAGATAATCCCTCATTAAAAAAAAAAGAAAAATGTTTGAAGTGGTTATGGCATAATTTTACCCTTCAGGATGGAGTTTTGCACACGTTGCGTTTCTTTCCACGCCAGCTCATTGGACTGCTCGGTTGAAGGTTGCCGACATTTTAAAGGGGGTTCTGATGTTTAGGTTTCTTAGGTATCTCAGGTTTGTTTTGTTACGCAAGTCCTTTGCATTCATTTTAATTTGAAGTGCAAAGAACACAATTAAGTAAAAATTAAAAAAAAATGACAGTAATCAAATCTCAAACGTTTGTGGCTTGAACTGGACAACTTTGACCTTGTGGGCTTAAAGTTTGGACAGCACTGGCATACACAACGTTGGGAAGACTGCTGACGGTTAATAAGACCGTCCAGGGGGAGGATAAGAAGCCAAATGTTGTTGTGAAGATTCTGGTCGTTTACAGAGAACAGGATCCGAGCATTTCAATGAAAAACTGAGTAGATTTGAAGCATGTGGTAGAAAAAAAGTGCACATAAACATAGTCTTAAGATTACTGCAGAGCAAAGTCATTTCAGGAATAGGTGTGTTTGCAGTCTTCCCTTTCTTAATACCTCCCATATTATGAAAGAAAATCTAGTTGTTTGATTTTGACTTTTCATCATCCCTTCATCAAAAACATGCCTAGTGCTGCTTCAGTTCTTTCATGCATATTTGTGGAACCCTCAAATCTCCCGTGGCAACCAGTCGGGGGCGCCTAAACACTTGCTCATACAAAGCACCGCCTGTTTCCACACAGTTCCTCCTTTGAGCTGCAGTCTCCGCCTCACAGAGCATCTTCCCCCACACTTTCCCCTCTCAGCTCCTCCAGACTAGCGGCAGCAGTGGCTGGCAACAGCTGGTGGATCTGCTGAACTTACCAAAGGAAATGAGCTCAGTCCAACGCTCCTAATACCGTTTGCAAACGGCTTAATGGAGGATTGTTGTGATGACGGTGGGGTGTCAGAAAGAGACAGAAGCCCAATTTCAAGGCCTAAAATTACAAAGTCAAATTTCTTTTACGTTATGATTGATAGACATAGCACTTTTATAACAACTTAAAGTAAAAGTTGCTTGATTGTGTTTTGAATGTACACCCTTTAAGCCAGTCCTGAATCACAGACAATGTCTGAAGGATGTAACCTGGGTAAAAGAGGAGGAGGTCTGTACTGTTGCTCAGTGGTCCGAAATCGTCCTTTCAGATGAAACTGTGAATGCAATGTGAAAAGTGAGGTCCCAATGTCTGTAGGAAGAGCGGAGAGGTACAGAATCCACATTTCCCCGAGGTCCGGTATGAACTTTTCACAGACCGTGATGATTTAGGGAGCCACGGTTTCGCCTGCGTTTCATCAAGTCGTACATCAGAGCAGTCTTCTCCCCAGGGAAGTTTGGACAACTCAATGTTTCACTCCGACAAAGAGCCTCATAGAGATGCTGATTCCGTCTTCCAGATGGACTCGGTACCGGCTTGCACTGCCAAAAATACCAACATCTCTTCTTCACTGGCCAGCAAAATGACCTGAGCTAAAACTAAAGAGAATCAAAGAGGGACTGTCAAGACAATGATAATACAAGACCCAACAAAGAACACAAGGTAAAGGAGGCCAAGGAAACCCGGGCACCACAGGACGAATCCCTTCACACCACATTGCATGAAGCTGTTCATGCGAAAGGAGCTTTGACCATGTAAGGTGTTCAGATTCTGTACGGCACCTGGCTAAATGTTTCACGCAGCTGACAGTTCTGTAATAATATTAGTTCCTTTCATACAATGCTAAACAGGAGAATTTATTTTGGGCCGTGAATGGCAGAAAGCTAGAAACAGAATTAAACATTTGAAATATAACACTAATGAACCTGTAAGTTAGATTTTTGTATTTCTAACTTTCTGATGAATCTGAAGATGCGTCTGTACATAAGACATGACACGGGTGCATTTCTCTGCAATTCTTCTCTCTGGAAAAGACAACAAAACTTTTTTAGTAAAGAATATGCGTCTAAATCTTAAGGAAATGGACAAGAAAACAGCTGCTCACCTACACTTGGCCAATGTGAGAGATAATAAATCTACACACAACTGGAAGAGTGACAAGGCAGGAGTTTTAAGTAGGCAAAAAGAAAAAAAATCCTGTGTGCTTATATAAAAGTGCCATAAAGCGGGAATTTAAAGCTTTTAAAAAAATCTTTACCAATAAGTGTCATGTCAGCAATGAAACAGGAAATGCAATAAAGGAAAAAACACACGCCATATGTACTGAAAGTAGCAATTTTGTTCCATTTTCAGATACAACTATTTACATGTAACCAGAGACTATGTTCTCAAAACAGGTACAAACAGTGTTTTTTTGTTGTTGTTTTTTTTTAAATGTTGCAATCATTATTGTTTTTTTAATTTCCTTCAAACAACTCAGAAATATAGTATAAAATAAGATATCAGCTTAGAGGAGTGGGGCGGGGAAGAAGGTAAAAAGAAGAAGAAGAAGTCTACGCATCTTAAATGTCCAGTAACGTATATACACACACACACACACACGAGTATTTACATTCTAAAATTTCCTTTTAGACCAAAGTTTTGCAAACAGTAAACACAGTCATGTTCACCGCAGCCCTACAAAAACCAGATCAAACTGATGTTTGTACAAGAAGTATGGCTGTAACTCGGCTCAGTGGTCGAAACGGGAGAGCAGTTCACCGCGAGAGGCTTTTCAGTGTCGGGCGGACGATCGCGGCCGAAACGACACCGAAGCGGAATAAATAAACGGCGACGGCGTGACGATGGAAAGCATGAAGCTACATCCAATCGAGAGTTTCTTAATCAAAAAATTATATTTTGTTAAAACTTGGGCCACAATCTATAAATTTGCAAAAGAGTCGGTCACATGATTATATTAAAACAAGACACAGTCCAGCTCAGCAAAGACTTTGCATTTTACACAATGAGGAGAGAAAACATTAAATTAAATACAACTCTTAAAATTATTTCATTGCATTTTAAAAACAATCATCTGGAATAATTCATTATGTGCTATAGTTGAGAAGAGCTAACCACAGCGTTGGATTAGTTGACATTTAAATTAAAATAGAAACAAACATGGGCGAGAACGACATAAATCCATGATGGCGCGTCGTTTCAGTCTCAGCCAAAGGGTCACATCCTGATCGCTTCAAACATGAGGGAGAAATATCCTACAGTTTAAAAAAAAAATAGCTAAAACTGTCTTTGAGAACAATTAAAATCTTAAAACCAAACATTTCCCTTAAGCATTCAGTCCAATTGTGAATATTAGTGGAGAGAAAATAAAAATTGATGGATCGCATTCAAAACCATTCCACGCTGTTTACATATAGACATCATTCTGAAAGTCCATGAAGATGATTGATTTCCCTGCTGATCAATTATTTCACCCTTGGCTTGGACGTGAACAGGCAGAGATTAAAATGTAATGATCCATAAAATCTGATTCAAGGCTTCGCACACTCGAGCTGCGCAGCCAGAAATCAGAACCCGACAGCCAACACGGCTCGTTGCCGTCGGACGATCCGCTTCGAGTCCGTTTCCGGCGACTCGTCGTTACCAATCTCGCGGGATCATTTAGCAAATAATAATCTGTGCAAATCACAAAACAAGTATGAATCTGGACATTGAAATGTGGAGCATGATGAAAGAACTTAAGAAGAAGGAAAAAAAAAAAAAAAATCAAGAGGATACAAACAAGTCCGTCAGCTAACAGGGCTTTGGTTCAGGCTGTGCTCCGGGAAGGGAACTCGAACTGTAGCTTTGAGTAAGTTTACACGCGACGCATCATCGGTGTGAGCGTCCATGGGTGGTCGGATGAGGTCGTGGGAGTGTGACATCAACGGGAAGGGGATCTTGAACCCTTAAAGTGTGCAGAAGAAGTGAGTTCGTTGCGGTTCATCGTGTGTTAACAGTGTTCCAGGTAGTCGATGACCCGTGAGATAGACTTCTGTCCTGTGGTGCCCATTGCACACTGTGTGGGGAGGCATGGAGGAAGGAAACAGAAAGCGTGAGAACTCAAGAGTCTTAAAAGAGGACAAGAGAAAAAAAAAAAAAAAACGTGCAGATTAAAGTTTGAATTTTATCTCCATTAAAAAAAAAAATAAAATAAAAAAAAGTGAAACGCATGGTTCCAGTCATCCGTTCCGACGAAACGGATCGCATGTGAAGCTGCTTCGAAACGGCAACATCTGGGACCAGAAACGGCTTGATAAATATTAATCTAATAATAACTAGCCCTCTTTTTCTGAACTTTAGTGCTTGAAATATACAGCTTGGTGACACAAGGATTTATGAGATCGATCACATTTTGTATTTTAATGACAGCTAGTAGAGGCCGCGTGAGCCGCTTCAAAGCTTCTGGAGAAACAGGCAGGCCGGACCGGCCTTTCATAAAAGCCCAGCAGCTTTTACTACCGATTCAAAAGAGAGACTGAAATAATTTACTGAGAATCACAAAAAAAAAAAAGAAAGAAAGAAAATCAGTGGCTCTCAGAGTGCTTTTCTTATTCTCTTTACAAAAAGGTGCTTTAGTGGGTTTGGTGCAAAATTAAATGCCTTTTCATTTCTCCGTTCCAACTAGCCATCAGCCAAGGACTGAATCAACAGCTGAAGATATCCAAATAAAAATCTTTACTTCAAACACTTGTTTTTTGTTTTGTTTTGTTTTTTTACTGTTATTGCTTGCAAATGTTTTTGTTGTTGTTTTTTTTCCCATCTTGGAGGAAAAGTTTCAGATAGGACATGGGCCAGTTTCTGGCATACTGAAGTCTTTAAAAAAAAAACATGTACTGCTCAAAAACCTCTTTAAATTTTCCAATGAGTTGAACTCATTTTAACGAGACTTTAAACAAAGTGCCAGAATAAACCTTCCCGTCTAGAAATGTGTCACGTGTTTGGAAAGTCATGGTATGGAAAATAAATCTATCTGCTTTGAAAGGACACTTAAAGCTACAGGCAGCTTGTCTGTAAAGTAGCTGACTAGTTAACCAGCCAATATGAGCTTATTAGGCTAGTAAAGAGAAGAAAGGAGCAATAATATTCTCCATCATAACACATTTAGTTCAATTCTCTAGATGAGTTCCCACATGTTTTTTTTTCCCATTTGAATCATTAATAATTTCCCTCCTTCAAATTTCAATTTTCTTCCTGCAGTTTTTATAACATTCTGGATATTGAAGAATAATAATTAAAAAAAAAAAAAAAAGCCCATTAGCTGTCTGACTCATTATCAGCTCTAATTATTTGGAGGCTCAAAAAGCCATCAAACACCACGACGTTGACATTTATGGAGCAATTATGTATTATTTTATCAAAAGTGGGAATAATTATTTCACTTCTATCATAAAAGCATCCAGATCTTGTTTTAATCTTCTCAAATTTCCACCTAGAGGTCATCACCCTGTGAGACTCTCATCGTCACCCTGACTCGACGCACGTTTCTTAGCGCCGTCACCTCGCCGGTCATACTCACAGTGAGGTTCATGAAACTCAAGAACTTCTTCAGCATTTCTGTCATTATAGAGAAATCCCCTTTAGGTAGGTGCTGTCTCACAGTAGTCACATTTATCTGGGGAGGGAAGGAAGAGGAAGGGAGGGGGGGGGCGACACGGAGAGGCCGGTGATCAACAACTTGAGACGTGTTCAGGGGCGAGAACAGAAGCAACAGAAGCGCCCGGAATGGAGTGTGTGAATGTGTGTTAGTCATAGGCTCACCTGGCTGCCCTGACAGAGGCAGCCCAGTAACAGAGCCGTGTAGGAGGCGACGATGCTGTCCTCCATGTGTTTGCCCGCGTGCTGCAGAGCTGGAACCAAACGAGGGAGAAAAGACGTTTCATTCTCAACCGTTGATCGGTTAAATGTCTAATAACAGACGCGTTCAATGAAACATGCGCAAAAACGAAGTCATGTCGGCAACTTTTGGAGGCTTCTTGATTAAAACGAAAGTTGGAAAGCACAGGCTGCAGTTAAGCTGAAGCTGTGCTATGGGATCGAGAACGTATGATTGTGAAACAAAAGCGACTACAGAGAAGCAGGCGGGCGTGTAAACGTCTACCTTTATTTAGGTCCAACTCCTCGTCCTCTTCCTCTTTCTTTTCAGCCTGGCTGTCGTTCGTTTCGGATGCCACCCACTGGATCTCTCCCGACGTCTCCTGCCACTCGCCGCTCTGGTCCAGGGCCGGCTTAGGGGCCTCGCTGATGAGGTCGTCCGTCTTCGCCTCGGCCAGGATGGCAGCGCGCTCCCGCTCCAGGAAGAGCTGGAGCATTGGAGGGGGGGGGGGGGGGGAGAGATAGGGGAGTGTGGGGGGGGGGAACAACAAGAAAAGACCAAGAGCAAC